ACGTCGATCATACGCCATCATACGCCTGAGAGACAGACAGAAAAGAAAAAGCAAAAGAAAAAAATTTTTTTTTAATCTTGGACAGCAACTTTTCTATAATTTAAAGCATTTAGATTCAGCCTGCAATCAGAACACATAAACAGCAGCAATATTAACAGAAGACAGAATTCCCCCTCAACTATGGCTCAGATCTAATTTCAGCATCTGTTAATGGGTGTGTTTTGCCTGGCAGCAGCCTAAGGTACAGTAAGGCAGTCCTGCAGCATACAGACAATAAACTAAGGCAGTCCTGCAGCATACAGACAATAAACTGAGCTCTGTCTGGAAAAACACACACATATTCAAATGTGCAAACCTGATATCACTCAGTAAAAATGTCTGCACTAATTAGCTACAGAGCACACTTGTACATAAGTGTGTCATTTTCTGCAAGTTTCCCTGGATTATTATGTAATGTGGGGGGGTTCCTCAATTTGCATGCAGAAATCTAGAGCAGTGTCAATGCAAAATGAATTAATTTACTCCTGCAAAAATATTTGACTAAGCCTGAAATTCATTTTGCAGATGACTATTGTAAGAGCAAATGAACGTGATTAAAGGCAGGTATTCATTTGATTTGTGCTGTCATTGTGACAATGTGTTTGACTTTCTCTGTGGCTTTTCCTGCCTATACAGGGTGACTACAGCACAGGCCAATAGAATTCTAGTGAAGGCTACGAAAGGAGCTACTGAGCTACTAAGGAGCTAAGTTCTACTGCAACGCTGCAAATGCTTATATGCTTTGGCAATACAAATGTAAAAATGTTGGTCATTCCAATAAAGCACTGTAAAACCGAAAACTGAAGTAGGAATCATGGGTGAACCAATGAACTGCTCTGTTTATTTAATAATTTAACCCCCCCAAAAAACTAAATTTATTAAACCGTTACGGTCTTTTTTGTATAGCTTAATCTCAGCAAATTTTAGTAAAGAATAATAAGGCTTGTCGCATTTTGGCACAAATCAGCTCAATGACTCAATCTGTAAAAGACACTCATACCAACCTAAATGTGTAACTGAACAGTTGGGCTTGCATAGACTTGTTGAGTGGTCGACTACATCAACCACTAGTCTGCGCTATCGGAAACAATCGACTACTCAATCATGCATTAACCATAATGCATGCACAGAGTTTGCAAGTACGACGTGAATTTTAGGATTACAATATTGCGTGTAGCTGTTACTTTCTATGACTTTATCTATGTTGCATGTAAAATTAAAATATGTAATGTAATAATTAGGGGTGTGCCCGAAGCCGAATACCTTATTCGGAATGGCACGGATAATGGCTTCAAAAACGAATAACGGACAAGGAATAATTCTGCTGAATATATAATATTCGGCTGGGGCTGGCACAGTCTGGTGTTTGCTAGATAACAGTTGAGCCAGGGGATCAGCGCAATATTATACACAGACCTCTGAAGTCACGCAATAGAGTGTGAAGTGAATGAATGTAAACTTTATGAATGAAAATAGCGCAAATCAAAAACCGCATTGCTGTTACCTCTCCGTGCATCTCTCAGAAGTCAGAGCTTGGCAAGAGTAATATCACCTATAATAATACATCATACATGTTCTATTATTTGTATATATAAAAGGCAATGATATAAACCTTAGGCTACGATATGATACGAATGAATGGAATAAGCACAGCGCGCTCGCCAATCAAACAGCCGCGTTGCGCGTCTCAGTCTCTCAAAAACCAAACCAGCTTTCTCTCAAGAGTAGGCTAATAATCAACTTGGATACAGATACATTTTCTACTAGGTCTACATGTTTGCATCTTTATCTTTTGCTGGTTTGCGTGGCACATGCACATGCACATTTGTTTAGTGAAGTTCAAAAAAGACTCACTTAAAGAGTTCTGCGTAATGAAAATGTGCGCATTTAATTAATTCGGTCGTGTTCAAATGATCACTAAACGTTTGTCATGACATCTCTCTGCTTGCATGATAAACATATTTTTAGAAATTAATAATTATTTTAGTTTAACACGGCATACTTGTTCAGTGATAACTATGAAAAAAAAGAAAGTCATAACGTTCTTATCAAGTAAATGTACAATATTGTTGGGTTAAAATTGGGTTAAAAACTTAACGTTGGGTTAAATTTTTACATTAAAATTTTAACCCAAAATTTGGGTTAGTCCATATTTGACCCAAAGTTGGGTTGAAACAACCCAGCATTTTTTAGTGTACGACGTTCCACCTGGTTTTATCCAAATGCAGATACGAATAATTGTGATTGTTACAGATTAAAAAAAATTAAAATATGTAATGTCATAATTATAAAGGTTTGACCATTTACATGTGTAATTGTTGCAATAGGTTATGAATTAATAAGCGTTTATTGATAAGAACTATTTCATGTCTTTTCATTTACAGTAGCATGAACCACGAGTAGTCGAGTAGCTCGAGTATTTTTTAAATAAGAAATCAACTAGCGGAAATCAGTAGTCGTGCAACCCCTACTGAACAGAAGATGCTACCCTCTCCTCATTCCCCATTATTAGGCACTTTTTCAACATGACAGTGACTCTTATACGAGTTAAACAGGATAGATGTGACAATTTGAACTTCAACTTGTGCAACTCAAAGAATGCTTCTCTGACTTTTCTTGGCATTAAGTTATGGACATACTACATTCTAGAACATTACACAATGGTTGAATTTAATGGTTGGAGATACAAAAAAAAGTGTATTCCTTTTTGCAACCCTTCATGTAAGCAAAAATGCCTAATTTATTTATTTTACAGATGGGGTGGCATTTTCTATACTTTTTATTAAGTATTATGTTTAAATTATATAATACTGTCATCTTTCCATGAATTTTAAAAGTGATGAACAGAAATATATCTATGTTCAGAGGGGATATACTCATTTATGCTGTGTACTGTTGAGATGAAATTTCATTTCACAATTACAGTGACCAAAATGATCAAGGTTATCAGTATTATTATTATGTGCTGGAAATGTTCAAAAAGTACTGATACATACAAATCATTCCAAGTTTTATATTGAAAACAATAAAATTTGTGAATAAACACACCTGTAAACTAAGCACTTAACTCAACCAAACCCATCATATAAAAGATTAATCAGATATACTGTATATGTTTTCCAGCTGAGCAGTCATTTGGGTGGCTCGCTAATGTATTAGATTTCTAAATTATAGAATTACAGTATATCAAATTTCAACAAATTTCAACAATCCATGATTTTAACAATACTCCATGACCATGAGTAATTAATTATACACATGAAATCTCATTTCTTTTCCCAAATCCCCCCCGTGTCTCATCTAGGGGTGTTCAATTCCAATTACACTATTAATTTTTTCTCTGACACGTTGCCTTAAATTCCCCTTATTAAAACAACACACTTTTAGTGTGACTGTCCAAATTAGTCCAATTTAGTGCTGAAGTACATACAACAACAAAAAAAGTACACTCATTGACTTGTTTATTCTTGATGTAAGGTTTTAGTGATTTAAGGTTAAAGATTATGAACACAAAAAGGTTAACCATGGAAAACAAAATGTATATTTATTTATTGCATTAATATAAACTACAACTACCGACTCCAGATCTATTCCGAGTCAAGAAATTGACTTATTTAGAGTCGACTCCCCAACACTACTTCTCATCCACTCTTTTTTGCAACAAATTATTTTTAATATGTTTATTTCCTCATTTCCCTATACTTTAATGTGGTGAAGTGGAAAAATGCTGTAGATTATATATTTTTTTATATTTAAATAGATTATATATATATTTTACCTGTCAAAATAACAGAAATCAATTATATTATTTATGTTTTTCAAATTCTGTAAATATCCTGCAATGTACCCATCAAGTAAATTGTGCAAAATGTTTTATTCATGGGATTTATCTCTCCTCACTTTCAACTTTAACACAGTTTTTGCTTGTAAGGCAAGGTAAGGTATGTTAAGTTTACCTGCATTTAGCTTCATTTAGGCTTGGCGTTTATAATAAATGTTGTTTTCTAATAAATACAACCATAAATATATAATAAAATAACATATATGCTTTTATATATTTTTTATAAACAAAAAATGTCACATTTGAAAGATTTTTTTTAGCAGTGAGGGGTACTATGTTTACATTGTTTAGAATCTTTCTAAATGGTAGATTTTATTTACCACTATTTTGCATTACTTCTGAATGTAATAATAAAAATGCTACTTTTAGTACGCCAATGTGATTTCCCCTCTCACTTAACACACTTATGTAGGGATGATAAAGACAAAGAAAGATTTTGTCCATTCTTTTTAAAATGATTAATTTTCATTATTGCTTTGTCAATTTGAGTAAGATAACAATGGAAAACTTGTTTCTGCTTATTGCTTGGAGCACTTAAAACCGGCTCGAGTGATGCTAACCTCATCAAGGTGTGCTGTGCTCTCATATGTACTCCACTTGTGTTTACATATTAATGCTTGTTACAGACATATTTTCCCTATGTGTTGGTAGGCAAAGGCAAACTAAACTCTAGTTCTGACCGCATTTCTGGGGAATGCAAAAAAAACACACTACCTATGTCTCTGACAACAGTGTTAAAAAGATTACAGAGGTAAACGAACAGTGCCAAAATGAGCATTTCATCTAAATATTCAGCTGTAATCTCATACATAATACAGTGTAGTTATTGGATGAAAACTTTCTCTTGAATAAAGTGTAGAAATGCTCAGAATCTAAATGACAGATGCGCACTTTACCTCAATTACAACACAACTTCTTCCCATAATAATAAACATAAGTGCTTCCATAACTGTCTTCCATAACCTGTAAATCTCTCTTAATATCTCAGTTTTAATCTCAGATGACATCCATACTTGGCACTGACCCACCTTTTCAAACACACACTTACTCACCTGGTGAGTTCCAGAGCAGGGACACAGGCCCCTGGTCGGTACGATCCACTGCCACGGTACTCTTTGGCAAAAATGAGGTCCTGCATGCTGGCTTTGGCCTCTAGCACCTTCGCACACTGCCGCTGCACATACAGCTTCACCTGGCTGATGTCACGTGACTCAAAAAGCAGCTTCAGAGATCGCTCCAGAATCTAACATAATAGAATTCCCTTCATTAACCTCAACTGCCCCCTGGCTGAGAAACACTGCATTACAACTGCAATGTGAATGACAGGTGGAGCAGGATTTATCAAGTGATTGGGCAAAAAGGAAATTATAATTTTGGAATGCTAGTTACCTTGGCAACAGCAGGGCAGCCATCACGACGTACAGTTTCAATGCCTTTGGCGTCAAAGACTGGGTTTTTCTGATCCAAGCTCTCATACATGTATCCAACATAACGCTTCTTTGTCTGTAACACGCATGGGAGGTACACCTACCCAAACACACAAGAACGCAGTCACAAAATTGGAATACTGCAATCATATGGCTTAAAAGAGCTCCCCTTCAAAACAAAAACAGAGTACACTTATAGACACAAACCACTTCACAAACCTTCTCAAACTTCAATTTGACAGGTTTAGGGTTGGTAGCAGTGACAGCCTCTGCAATTTCATTACCAATCTTAAATGCCTGTTCCTTGGTTGCTCCTTTCAACAACACAAACATACTAAAAAAGAGAAACGGACAGGTATCAGAGACAGTATAACAGTGTACTAAGTAGGCACAAAACAACAAATTTCCACTGACACGCAATTTGTCTGTTCAAACTGAACACAAAACAACTGCACAACAAAACAGCCAATGAGAACATTATGATGTTTATGTTAATAGTGTCTATTTATTTATGAACACTGTTTTATTAACTTGACACTGAGTTTTTAGGGAACACTCTCACATACCAGACAGAGCAGGAATTTCATAAAAATCAATCAGAAGGCAGCATCAATTTTAAAACTGAACTGCATTTGGCCCACCACAACAATGAACAAAGTTTCATAGGGAGGCAGTGCCTCAACGGCACTATTCTTGGCTAATTCATCTAGTAATATTATAATGCTTACCTATCATGTAAGAAAAAGGTCTGTAAATCAGACTGAATGAGTCAAAGTGGAGGAAATTAACTAAAAATAAATTTAATACTTAAAAAACACCTGCTTGGTCAACATCACATCTACATTCATAGTTTTTATTTCTCTACCTGTCTGTATCTCCATAGACAACACGTGCTCCCCACTTCTTTGTGTCATTGACCATCTTTATGGCTCTCTCCAAAGTCTCTCGGGCCTTGTGCACAATGCTGTCACCTACCTGGTGTGTGAGGAGAGAGACAGAATATGTTCTCTGGTTTCTTTGGCAACATAGTAATCATACACACAAACTGCATTAGGTCACCATTTGATGTTCAATGTAAAATCTGGGTCTTAAAGTAAGACATGGTTTTAAATTATATATTCAGTCAATAGCCAACTGTGCATACAACACTGCTGCATATCAATTTAGAAAGACTGGCCCTTCCAGTCAAACATCAAGGGTATACCTAAAATTATTTATCATACATAAGCATTCAAAAACCAAAATCAGCTACACTTTAGATTAGGGAACACTATTCACTATTAACTAGTGTTCAGTCTGTAAAAGTTTCTTGAATTTAGCAGCCAAAAACCTACTGGCCAAAAGCAAATTTTAAATAAAAACTTTTTAAAAGGCGAT